TTAGCACTATTAAAACATGCTGCAGCTATCTCATCCTGTCACCAGGGTTTTGGAGATAGATCTGTTTTCAATCATCCCCTCACAAAACGTTTTCTAAAAGGTGTCAGAAGGAACAGACCTGTGTCCCGCCCGCTATTCCATCAGTGGGACCTAACGGTGGTTCTGCGCGGCTTGTCTGAAGCCCCATTTGAACCCTTGGACCAGGTCTCACTCAAGTTCCTGTCACTCAAAACTGCCTTGCTGCTGGCGCTGGCATCAGTCAAGAGAGTGAGTGACCTAACCGCCCTCTCAGTGGCTTCTGCATGCCTTAGGATCCGGGAAGATGGCGGGTCCTCTGTTTTGTGCCCCAACCCAGCCTTTGTGCCCAAAAACATTAGTCCTTCCTTCAAATCTAGGTCAATTTCATTGGCTGGACTTTTTCATCCTCCCCATAATTCTGATGGCTTCCCACCTTCTCTGCCCGGTGCGCGCGCTCGCACGATATGTGTCACGCACTTCAGGGATTCGCCGCTCACAAAGCCTGTTTGTGCACTACAGAGATTCTTCCCTTGGGCAAGCGCTGTCGACCCAGCGTCTTTCACACTGGCTATGTGACGCCATTTCACTCGCTTATACATCATCAGAGCGGGATCCTCCTGAGACACTCAGGGCTCACTCAGCCAGAGGGATTTCCTCTTCTATGGCGCTCCACAGTGGTGTGTCGATGGAAGACATTTGTCAGGCTGCTTCATGGGCTTCACCCTGTTCCTTTACTCGTTATTATTTACGAGATGTGTCTTCAGGATCCATCACTCGTTCAGTGCTTGGACCTCAGCAGGCTGAGTGAAAGCATTATGGCACCTCATCAGCCCTACTTGAATGAATTTCATCCTATTGTGGATGATATTTTTAGTGGGGGCCCACTCTTCTCTCTGGCTGCCGCAGCCTTTTAAGCCCTGGGCTAAGGCTGAGCGACCCTCACTAAAAGGAGACATGTTGGGTGTGTCCATTGGTTGAGTTAACCAGTGTGGCGTAAACCCATCCAGCTGCACATTATTCCAATAGCAGCTAAAGGGCTAAGACTAGATGAAATAGAACGTTGGTTACGTATTGTAACCCCAGATTCTATGAGTCTAGTTGCAGCCCTTAAGCAAATGGCCCCACTGGTTCTGTTAGGACTAAGAGCCATCGGAGGCGAACAGTGGAGTCGCTCCACTTATATACCCACAGGGGTGCCCACCATTGGTGGGCGTACATTTAAGCTCTTCATGATTGGCTGATGCTGAGATCATCCTTCCAATAGCAGCTAGCTTAAGGCCTGCAACTAGACTCATAGAATCTGGGGTTACAATATGTAACCAACGTTCTTGATTAGCATTCAGTGAATCTAGAGTTGAATAAAAATAAAAGAAGAAAATCTTTAAATGTTTTGCTTCATTCTAATTATTTACAAAGCACAAAAGCAGATTAGTTCATAAATAGACATAATCTCATTAAGGTTTAATGCACAACTTATGTAAAATTGTGTGAATAAAAATCAGATCATTCAGTTAATCATTTAGAAAACATCCCTATATACACAGTGCAGCACATAAACATTTAACAAGAGCAGGTTTCATTGTTACCTGGTTTTACTACCACACTGGGACACATGATCACCAAAATGCAGCAAACATTTACTATCTTGTCCAGAAGGGTGATCTCTTCACCCTCACATGGAATAAGTCCTCGGATTGGCATTGTGGTACGTAACATTTTGTATTTGTTGCGCAAGCTCCCGATGACTCGCTCAACGTGTGTTCTCAGGTGGGCTATAGCTCTTGTGGCATCAAGTTGACAAAACCTCTTGTAAATGAAGGGATCTTAACCTCTGCACACATAATTCCAGTCGTGCGTGACGGTCTGACTTTTAAGCAGAGACTTCAGAATGACCCATGTGGAGCGTTGGAATCCAGTCAGGATTTGTTTCATCCATTTCAAAGGCAGGTTTACCTGCAATAATGCAAAGAAAGATTAACGTGTGTATGAAATATAAATACTTTTTAAAAAAATCAATTAATCTTCTGGTTATTTGTTCTAATTTTCTTTGACCTCACACCATTATTATTTGTGTTGTCTAGAGTTTTTCTTTTGTGTTTCAGAAAAACAAAAACTATCTGTTTACAATTCGTAGACCAAAGGCCTAAGACCGTGCCTGCAGAAGCTAACGGGATCTAAAAACAACAACTCCGAGCGCATCGGAAAATACCAAAGATAAAAGGAGGAATATGAGCGGTTATGTGGAACTTACCAGGATAAAACTGTCTGGAACACACTAGAAGATATTTGGTGATGGTAGAGAACTGGAGATCCACTCGTCTCACAGCTGCAATCCAGGCTATCCGTCTTCTTTTGGTTACATCGGACACATGTGCTCCCTCACGTTGCTTCCAGGCAGGGAAGGAATAAAAAGATAGCCCATTTTCAAGCTTATTACCTTCCCGGTCGTGCGACCCAACATTACAGCCTACTACACAGCAAGTCCTACCCATTGCTGATGTTATAAGGGTGCCATCCTGCTGCTATCCGTTTGTTCCTCAGTCCTCGGTGACAAGAAAGATGGCGTTACCAGGGCGCACCCCCATCGTGCAATGTCACACTCCAAAGCCCCATTAGAGTCTCATGTCGTGTGAACTGTTGATGTTCGTGCTTATATGTTTGAGGTGTTTTGCATAGCAAAGTTAGCCCCTGTCGAGAGTAACTCTGAAATGCCTTTTTGTCCCTCTCCCCCATTTATCCTCATGTAACCCTTTTCTATCTAACTGAAAGGAGCGCCTTGAATGGCAGCTCTCGTGGTCTGCCTGCATCGGTTTGGTTCTACATGTTTTGTGTGTGTAACCTCGCTCAGGCTGAACTGCGGAGTCAAATTTCTGTGCTTCGGGACGCTGGGGCACTGACGATAAAGCTGATTCTGAGAATGGCAGGAGGAAACGATCGTGACAGTTTTTTAAACTGTCTGTCAAATGAAAACATGTCTCAGCATGTAGGTGTTGTTTCTGTACCTGCTTGTAACTTACATTGATAATAACGTGTTAAATTAAGGCTCTGGAGTCCATGGACGCGTGTACGCGTCTTTTGAACAGGTCTGAGTTGGGACGCTGTAGCAGCAAGACTCCGCCTCCCTGAGTTTCGGTTTCAATTCAGCTTTAAAAAGGAGATTATAAACTACACCCCAGTTTTTATATTGTGTTAATAGGTGTAGTGTAATCGTTCATGCTCTTTAATGAAAGATGAACCATCCTACATATTAATTCGGAATATTATTTTTAATAAATTAATAACCAAATTTAACGTAAAAGCAGAGTTTTACTAAACTAAAAAACGACCTATTTTTAGACAATCTGACAACTTGTCAAAACGGCAGTTTAGTAATCCGTGAGAGGGAACGTGCTTGTGAACGTAAAAAAACCCACAAAAACATGAGATCCTTTTGCTGTTGGTGGAAGTCTCACATATTCAATTATTAAAAAGTATCATTATGTAGCTGAGAGAGAGAGGAAGGCCGCACGAGTAACGAGATGTGCGCAAAAAGGAGACGCTTCGCGGGGAAAGGAGTGGTGCGAACGGAGTAACAACAAACAATTAGACAGATATTGACGGTAAACTTCATATTTCGGAGCGATCTGGACAGATATATTGTCTCTGCAGTTTAGTAGGCTTTTATTAGGCTTATATAAAGGATGATGAGAAGGATAAATGTCCACCAGGCAGTTCAGATAGTACGGCTGTTTTTTGAACTGGAAGCAGTGAAGAGACTCACAGCTGGAGTCTGAAGCAAATAGCGAGGATGTTGATGATGATGTGGCAGATCCATCCTTCCTCATAGAAGAGTTGGGTCATGATGAGTTAGAGGATGAAGGCAGAGATCCAGCTCCTCGGAGATCCAACAAGAGGAGTGGGCGGCGCCGCGCAGCTGTCAGATCTCGGCACACTCCCCACTCCAAAATGCATGTTCATTATTGCCAAATTAATAAAATAAGTATAAATTCAGATAGTCCAGGTTGTCCTGAAAAAAATGATACCCCATAAGGCAATATTTATTGTTTTTATTAGAAAGTACACAAGAAAAACAAAAATGAGTCAAAAACGGCAATTTACACTCTGGATCCCAGAGGGCAAATTGTTTTTTTTTATTTGTTATTTGCTATATTAAGTCATATTTATTATAAACGTACAGTCTAGATTACCATTCTAAATTATAAAAACATTTGTCATAATGTTTGTTGGTTTCACAGTAAAATAAACAACTTTTTTCCTATTCGGATTTTATGTTTTTGAGTGATTTGAGGTCTAATATGCAACCCCTTTATGTCCAAATATAAAAAATAAGTATACATTCATAAAGTCCAGGTTGTGCTGAAAAGATTGATAACACATAAGGCAGTGGTTATGGTTTTTATTTTGGAAATACAAAGGAAAACTCTAAATTAGTCAAAAACAGCTAAATACACCCAGGACCCCAGAGGGTTAAGGCTCATCCAGAAAATGAAACCTGGCGCAGCTACCTGGGCACCAGATTCAGTGGAGTAATGTTTTTGGACGGCTACTTTTAACTATTACTTGATTATAAACATGTTGCAGTAGTGCTAATCTTACTTAAGTGATATATTTTCAGCATATTTTGAGCTCATTTGTTTCCTTTCAAGTCGAAGAGATCTACGATGGGCTGCATGGTGGCGCAGTGGTTAGCACTGTTGCCTCGCAGCACGAAGGTTGCAGGTTCAAAAACTCGGCTCGGCTGCGGCCTTTCTGTGTGGAGTTGCGTGTTCTCCCCATGCATGCGTGGGTTTCCTCCGGGTACTCCGGTTTCCCCCACAGATCACAACATGCCCTATAGGTTATCAATTGTAAGTCGCTTTGGATAAAAGCGTCTGCTAAATAAATAAACATAAACGATGACGACTGTAGCCAATTTCTGAAAATACCGACTTCTATCATCCTAGGAACCACACACACACACACACACACACACACACCAGTACCTGTGTCCATGCTGATGAAGCAGTCCCAGCTGATGGATGAACCTGAAGTGGTAGCAGGTTTTCTTTAGCCGTGTTTAGCTAACAGCTGCAATAGAAACAAAGCAGCAGTTTTTAGAACATATATAAGAGCAGTTAGAAGTAGAAGAAGCGCGCGAGGTCACGGCAACGACACGAGATGAGAGACGGAGAGTCTACAGTAGCAGCTCTTTTCTCTTAGATAGTTAGACGCAGCATTTTCGAAAGAGGATATTTAATCTTGGATTTACACTTTTGTATCTTTTGAATTTTGGAATAAACTTTTTTGGAAAAAGGATTCTCATTCATTGGATTTTAAGGGACTATTTTATCCTTTTGGCTGGGAGCTCTGGCCCGGCCTAACAGGAGTAAAGGTAAGCCACCTTATTGCTTGTACCTGCTTCTCAGGACTTGTTTTTCAGGGTGTGACAGATTAATAAAAGATACCTTGGGCAAATGGGAGTTTCGTCTCCCCCTCTCTCTTGAGTATCGGGACAAGCCTAAGGGTGATAAGCCATGATAGTTCGTTGGTTCAAACAGGCTCTTTTTGCACCAAAAAAGTCTCTGTTAAGCGTGGGAAGGAACCATTTCAAAGGGTGGATTAATTAGATTAATTGATAAATCTATGTTAGCCTGATCAACTAACTAGTAATCATTTTCTAGTTACCACCGCCCACTTTGCTGACAGAGGCGCAAATTAATCCTGATAGGACCCAAATAATAGTCAGAAAGATTGGCCACTCTGAACTTCCGCCTTAGTATCCAAAACCACTGGATAACAGGATTTAAAGGGAAGTGAATTAATACAGGAGAACAAGTACGGCAATTCCATTCCAACCTTTAAATAAGGAAACAAGTTTTAATTGAGGAAGTCCAAACCCGGGTCTAATACAATAATACTCACCACGGCCTCAACCTCCCTGAGTAAGCAGCGTAACTCGAGGATCTAACGGAACCTCTTAAAGGGCACGCTCGCATCATGGCGCCCAACGTCGTGGCGTGGTGAAGGTCAAATATTAGAAACCGGACTAACTGAAATAGGACTGTTTTCTAGGCATATAAAGGCTCATGCACCATGACCTTGTAAGCTTATAACCTTGGAGTAAGTGAAAAACCACACCAATCTCTCGAAAAGGAAAGAGATAGGGAGAACAGAGGACTAACTGAAAGAAAAGGTAGAAAGAAACAACGGCTTTCCGACGCGAGAAAAGCCAAGGATAAACTAGGAAAAACTAAAAATAAATAATAAAACGTAAAAAACTAATAAATAAAAATAAGAAAAACTTTTAACCAGCATGGCAGAGAGATCTTTAACAGTAAAGCCGGAAAATATTCTCCCTAACGTGAGATTTGTAACCAGAACTTTCAAAATGAAGGAGGAACAGCTCGAGCAGCGGCTCAGCGCTGTCTGCAGGCTGACGCCCAAGTAAGAAATGCTCATGTTTTTCCATTAGTAGGAAATGTGGTGATTCTAGGAAAACGACCATGTCCCAAGTAGAGAAGAAAGTTAAAAAAAAAGCTTTGAGGACAGAGATAGAAGCAGTGAGAGTGAGACTGAATCTGAGGAAGATGAACAGGGTTCTCAATTGGTGGTGCGTGGCACACCAAAGGGGACACCTGAGTCAGAGCAAGGGTCCCAGCAGAGATGCAGCACCCGAATCCCTGGTGGTAAAACACCGGAAAGAGTGACCTGGCTCTCCCCAGTTACAACTCATGAGAGATGTGAAAACATAGGAAGTGTGGAACAGCCACCTCAGCCAGCAGTAAAAGGAGAGAAGGGGCAAACGATTTGGGTCAAAAGAGGACCGAACCAGAAGGGAAATTGAATTAAGCATAACGTGAGTGGACCACATCAGATACATAACGTAACTGGAAACGTGGTTTTAACTGAAACTGGCATGTGACATTACTATCAAACAATTTAAGTGATATGGTTTCTAAATGTGATATATCTGCATCCCCCCTGACGGATCATTGTGTTATTATCTTAGATGTTTTGCCTGACAAGCGAGAACAGATAACTGCAGTATGGAAGTTTAATAACAGCCTTTTACATAATTTGGACTTCTGTAAGGAAGTTGAAGCTTTAGCTGAGGAAATTGAAGCGCTGGAAATGTCAAGCTAGAACAAATAGGAATGGTTCAAATTCCAAATTAAAACAGTATCGATCAAAATAAGCAAATCCTCCTCAAAACAGAAAAAACATGAGCAACAAAACATTGTTGAAGGTATCAACAAACTATGCCTCAAAAAGGATCTATCACTGGAGGACCACATTCTTCTTAATAATTTTCTACCTCAACTAGATAATATTTATCTAGAAAAAGCTAATGGTGCTTATGTATGCTCAAGAGCGCGATGGACCGAAGGAGGAGAAAAAAACTTCATATTTTTTCAACCTAGAAAAACAAAGACAAACAAAGAAAAAAATTTGTAAACTCTCATTGCGAGATGGTGTCGCGAGCGTGTCCTATTTATCGGTTCCTTTAAAACCTGGTTCCGTTAGAACCTAATAAGACTGCGCTGCTTTCTCAGGGTTCGTGGGGCGTCGGTGAGTTTTACTGTATTAGACCCTGGTTTGGACTCCCTATTTAGAATCTGTTTCCGATTTTAAGGTAAAATGATATGCCGTACTCGTTCTTCTGTGAGAGCACACTTCCTTTTAGATACTCCCGTTATCTAGTGGTTTTTGATACTAGGGCAAAGTTCAGCGGGCGGCCATCCGTCGCTGACAATTCTTTGGGTTATATTTGGATTAATTTGCGCCTCTGTCAGCTTTTGTGGGCGGTGGTAACTAGAAAATGATTCTTGTTAGTTGATCAGGCTAACATAGATTTATCAATTAATCTAATTAATCCAACCTTCCCACGCTGGCGGAGACTTTTTCACACTTGCAAACAGAGCCTATTTTAACCTACTAATGTTTTGGCTTATCATCCTTAAGACATCTCGTTACTCACAGGAGAGGAGAAGACGAGCTTCTTTACTTAAGGTTTCTTTTTCTTAATCTGTCACAAACTGTAAAGCAAATCCTGATAATTCAGGAACCTGTAATTAATGTACTTACCTCTCCTTGTTGTTCAGGTCGGGGCCCCAACCTTAACCTTTAAAAAGGACCTGGAAGAATCAGGGATGTGGATTATTTTTCAAAAAGTTTATTACAAGATTAAAAAAATACAAAAAACGGGTAGATATAAGACTGATCACCACCCCCAAGGAGAAATTAATCCTAATCAGGGGTGGACATTAACTTCAAAACCAACCGGCCAGCCGGGCCGGTAACTCTGAATATCTACCGGCCCCGCTAGTCAGCTGCCAAAACGAGTCAAAATAACAACTGAACCGTTTTAAATGTAATAAACCTTTATTTTGTACACATTCACAAACATAATAATGTATTCAAGTTTGAATTTGTTTGTTCCCTCAACAAAACTCGATTTTGTCGTCACATACTTCCGGCATACAACGCAGTACATCACCAACTCCGCTTTGCTGTATTCGAGCCATTGGCTGTGTCCGAGATGAGCCAGTTCTGTGCAGATTAGACCAGCGGTGATCGGCGAGCAGTGCATGTCGGTTAGATTTGTGTCCGAATTGACGCCGACTTGCTCTGACGTCATACATACGTAGGCAACGATAACCTCGTGAGATCAAGGCGGCCGCAGATTTTGGAGCAAGGCGCTGCAGTTGCTCTCCACCTGCTGCTAAACCTAGGGCATGACGGGAAACGCCTGGCTCTCACCTGATCTAAGATTTGATTGGTTCATATTTTGATCCAAACATCCGGTGGTAGAACATGAAATGTTAGTAGGTCACATGTATTCTGTAAATCATGCTACGTTGATGATGACAACTATATAGGCCATAAAGAGAAATGTGTTTTGTGTTCTTTTGTCACGTTTCCTATGAACACACTGAAGCTACAGCTGATAACCTTTACTTATTATTACAGTCAGGTCTCCATAAACAATATGATATCCACAAGCACGTGAGGATGTGTTTCAGCTGCTAACAGGCACCAGAATTAAAATAGAAAATTGAACAAGTATGAAAGCTAACGCGATATCTTCATCCATCGTCAACCCCGAGCTACACATACAGGGAAATCCAAGAGATTCAACTGGCAGAAACAACTGGTTCACACCACAGTCTCTCTCTCTCTCTCTCTCTCTCTCTCTCTGTCTCTCTGTCTCTCTGTCTCTCTGTCTCTCTCTCTCTCTCTCTCTCTCTCTCTCTCTCTCTCTCTCTCTCTCTCTCTCTCTCTCTCTCACTCACTCACTCACTCACTCACTCACTGACACAGACAGAGGAAAAGAGAGCTGAGAAAAGGCAGAGGAAATGGAGGACACCAAGTAGTTAAAAGAAAAACTACAGCTGAGCCAAGGCACGCCTGCCTAGTGAACCTGGCCGGCTCTGAGGGTGAGCTGGCACCGCGCCACGGCCAATCGGCTCAAGGACCTCGCCAGAGTGGGGTTTGCTGGGAGAATCTGCGCTCGGTTACGGGCACAGAGTTAAAGGAGACTGTGCTCGTGTGCGATCCCGGCAGGATGGGTAGGGTCGGCAGGGCCGCAGCACCGGTTTGGTCTGGTCAATGCCAGGTCTGTGCTGAACAAAACTTTTATTCTTCGTGATTTTTTTTATTCAGCATGACCTGGGTTTTCTCTGCATCTGTGAGTCATGGATCCCGTTTGGTGACTCGAGCACCCTGCTGGAGCTGGTACCACCTGGCTGCTCCTGTTTTAATACCCCCAGATCACAGGGCAGAGGTGGAGGGCTGGTTGTTGTTTTTAAATCCAGCTTTCCTTGTAAACAGCTTACACCCACCATGTCATTTTCTTCCTTTGAACTGTGCCTATCTGAACTGTGCATCTCCCCCCGCCTGCTCGTTGTGCTGATTTATCGGCCTCCAAAGACTGACTCTAACTTCCATAATGATTTCTGTGATCTTGTGGCAGACTGCATCCTAAAATATGACTATGTCCCATTTTTTGGTGATTTTAACATCCATATCTGCTGTCCTGACAATGTGCTTGCTAAAGGTTTTCTGAATTTGCTAGACTCATTCAATTTGACTCAATGGGTATCATCCCCAACTCATGCCAGGGGTCACACCCTGGACCTGGTTCTCTCTTTTGGTCTCCCCATCATGAACCTGGTGACTTTGCCTCCTGTGTTCTCTGACCACTCTCCAATACTCTGTGATGTTACGTTGCCATGTCCTGTCCCTGTGTGTGAAGCTCCAGCTACTAGGTTCAGAGCCCTGGATGCAGAAACGGTTTCAAAGTTTGTGGACTGTATGTCTGTAAGGTTAGAGACCTTTAACCCAGATCCATCTAACACTGAACACTATTCACAACACTTTGATTTACTTTGTAATCAGGTCCTGGACGTGGTTGCCCCTCTCAAGCTTTGCAAGTCTCGGCCTAGGAGGGAGCCGTGGCTCTCTGATGTCACACGGGCTTGTAGGCGGGCGTGTAGATCCTCTGAGAGAAAGTGGAAAAAGGATGGCCTACAGGTCTCGCGTGAGTTGTTCAGAGCATCTCTGGTTGCTTATCAGGATGCTGTGAGGGCTGCCAGAACGGCCTATTTTGCAGACATCATCGAAACAAACTCCAATAATCCTAAGATTCTCTACAAAACACTAAACTCTGTTCTGTTGTATCAGGAGCCTAGCTCCATGTCTCCTACAGCTGCTGGAAACTCTGAAGCTTTTCACAGATTCTTTGTAGATAAAGTGTCAGGCATTCAATTTTTAAATACAGGAGAAATTCAGAAAGTCCTTTTTTTACTATTAAAAGGCTGTTTTACTAACGCTGTAAAACGCCTCACAACATATTTTTATTGTGTTTCTTAAACAGTATTACACAAAATAAACATTTTTCACATTTCTCTAGCTAATTTAAACACTCCCGACTCAAAGTAAAAACCTCATGAGCTTCTTACTTAGAGCTTTTTAATAGTAAAATAAATGTGACTTTTTTTCTGAATATCTCCTGTTGCGGGCTATTTTGTAGAACGTAACCCTCAAAATAAATGATCACTGTATATTGTTAATTAATTCAAATAATATAATATTGATTTAGTGTTGTAGTGTGTGTGCTGCTTTATTTTATATGTGTACTTATTTTCAGTCAATTTGTGTTTCTTATACAGAAAAAAACAAGCAACAATGGACAACTACATGGGGAACAAGACACTCACCCCCCAGCACTGCATACCACTTACAGACTCTATTCTAAACATGCTGGTAAAAGACATGAGGCCACTATCCATGGTGGAAGGAGCAGGCTTCCAGATAATGCTAAAAAATTATTCTGGACTGATATTTTGCACTGTTTAGCTCATTTTATACTGCTGACTGTGTTCATGTGCAATAAAATAGATTGCAGTCAACTGCACAATCCTCTTATGTTTTTCTTTTTCTTAACTGAAATGTATTCATCACTTGTAAAGGTTAAATAGCTAAACAATAACAAACTGATTAATCGATTAATCGAAAAAATAATCGACAGATTAATCGATTATGAAAATAATCGTTCGTTGCAGCCCTACTGCCAGTCTTCATGAGTCGCCTAAAAACCCACCTCCTCCGCTTGGCGTTCCCTGAACATGTTTGAATTTGGCCCTCTTATGTTGATTTTATTTCATAGTTTTCATTGGTTCACTCTATCCCTTGTTTTACACATTTGTCTTCTACTAGAATGTTTAACCTTTTGTTGTAATTTGTAATCTGTATTTGAAATTGCTTTTATTTTCTGATTTATTCACTATATTTAACTTTCTGTACCATGTTCAGCGCCTTGGGCTTCCTGACAGGGTTGCGGAAGGTGCTTTATAAATAAGGCATTGATTGATTGATGGATTGATCAACTTAGTGATTCTCCTTGGGAAATACCATATTCACTGTAGCAAGTGGAAAAACCTATTACCCTCCTTTGCCAGATTTATGAATGACTTTAAACAATATTTTTCCTCGCTTAAGCGTCTAAAATCAGGCCGATTTGCAACAATTTATGACAAAATCTCATCTCTCTTGGTCTTAGACTATTAGGCTCTTATCTTCTGTGCTACAGGATTGTATTTGTATTTGCAGGAGTATTATTTGGATGTTGTGTTTGCATTAACCCCCGGTCTTGATTGTTGTAATGTCCCTTTTATTTTTGTTATGTCCCTTTTGTTTTCACGTATCAATTTTATGTTGTACATAGATGCTGTCATGTTATTCACTAAGCTGTTGGTTTTGGCTGTTGTATTGACGAGACTAATCCTCAACGAGAATATGCATCTTGTTCAATTATAAATAAAGAATAAAAGAAAACATTCATGTTCGGGGCTTTTCCGTCGGAGTGTGAGCAGGATGGATGAGAGAGCGAGCAGCGATCCTGCATCATGACCAGCTCAGATGAGCGAGTCTGATAGAGGGAACCTCTTCAATCTGATGAAAGCAGCTAAACGAGCGCGTTTGTCAGAGAGGCCAAAGGAACAGCAGCAGAGCCAGAGGGCAGGAAGTCTAGAGAAAAGCTTTTCTGACCCATTACCTGCTTCTGGAGCTCCGATTGTCACGAAGACCGCAGAATATCTTCTCTGGTTCTGGAAAGAAGTCCACCAAGTTGTTGAGGAGGAGAAGAAAGTTTCCACAGCCTGGTGAGAAGATTTCTGCAGCAGCAGCAGTTAGTCGCTTTAGCCGATCAACTCTCCCAGAGACTCAAATATTCATTCACCTCACACACCAGAACAACAACAAGCTAGCGCTGCTAGCAGCTTCCGGGTTTCTTCTTCTTCTGTACAACCAACGTAAAGGTGCACTGCTGCCACCTAGTGGACACGACTCTGGATGAACAGCAAGAACCTGTGTGTTCCGTGTGTGACTAATAAAGCACACATACTAGTGACATAACCAGGCCAGACTTCTTCATGCAGGTCAATCTGACACTGATGTTGATATGAAGTCTATGAACTTGAGCCAATACTCCTAATTTATCCTGTGGTGTGCCAGAACGGCATCAAGGCTGCAGGAGACGCAGGACTCTTATGTATCCTCTCTGAATAAAGTCTATCCTCCCTGGCTCATATAATAATTTTATTATTATTATTAAAGTCTATCCTCCCTGGCTCATATGTTGCTGCCCCTTGGCATGAGAGGGTGCTCGCTGCAGAACTACAAAGGTGGAGCTGCACCAGTCAGCCCCGCCCATTCACGCAAACTCACCCTAGCCCACTGACTTCTTGTGTTTTTGTTTTTCAACTTTATCGCAAACTAACCTGACCCACATGAATTACAGCTGTTACTAGTTTACAATTGTTAATGCTATGTTCTATGCTCCAATTAAACAAGAAAAATATAACTTGCTACATGACAAAGCCTGAATATATCCCAAAATGAAAACGTTTCTTTTAGCGAATATTTCTGTGAAGGTTCTCAGTCATCCAGGTCATTGTAGTCTAAGGAGCTTTGAAAGAAAAGCATCTGGACTTCTTTGAGCTGCTTGAAGACGTTTCACCTCTCATTCGAGAGGCTTCTTCAGTTTTAAGGTCAAATGGTGGAGAGTCCCATATTCAAACCCAGTGGGAGTTTCCCCCCCGAAGAGGGAACAAAAGACCCCTTGATGATCTTCTACATAAACACATGAGCCAAGGTGTGAGGGTGGGTGTGGGTCCTATTCAGCCAGAGTTTCGGGTGAGCTCATTGTGAAGCCTGGCCCCACCCTATCATGTGAATTTCTGAGGTCAGATAGCCCAGGATATACGTGGGCGTTGAGGCATCTGGGAAGGGATCTCAAAACTGGATTATAGATGGCAGACAGTTGGTGTCGTAAACCACTGCATCTGTTCAAAGATGGTTGCTCACAGTGGACATAAATGGCTTCCTTTACTCCTCTTTCAAACATTCTGTCCTCTCTGTCCAAAATGTGAACGTTGGCATCCTCGGAAGAGTGATCTTTGTCCTTTAGATGCAAATGGACTGCTGAGTCCTGTCCCGTGGAGGTGGCTCTTCTATGTTGTGCCATGCGCTTGTGAAGTGGCTGTTTGGTTTCTCCGATGTAGAGGTCTGGGCATTCCTCTCTATACTGTACAGCATACACCACATTATTCAGTTTGTGTTTAGGAGTTTTGTCTTTCGGGTGAACCATTTTCTGTCTGAGTGTGTTGCTGGGTCTGAAGTACACTGGTATGTTGTGATTGGAGAAAACCCTCCTGAGTTTCTCTGATACACCGGCTACATAGGGGATGCACAACAGCAATAAAGGCTATTGAATGGCTTCTGGTAGTCCAATGGTACGATCGACTGATTTAAGTTTTGCTTTCCCCTCTGCTGATGCTGGTTCGACTCTCGGTGGGGTCGGCAGCAATCTACGTAGCCAACTGAAACATTTACAGTAATTTGCTTATATTTTAGTTGTAATGTTTATTTTCAGCAAAATATTTGTGTCTCTAAAAGTTCTTTGAATTTGGTCGTTCCTAAACAGCATTTTAGTTGAAACGCTGCTCACAAGTAGTCATCATATTGTAAACGGTATATCAATAAATTGTTGTAAACATAGTACTGGCAAGTGTAGCTAGAAAAGAAGAAAAAGGGTTTTAAACTACCTGATACTTCCGCTAATGGGAGGCGAACCTGCGCAAAACTGCATGCCAATCTGACTCCATAACCACTTCACCACTATACCTAATAAAAAGCAGGTGGCGTTACATGTAATTGTCCCATCCAGTGTGTCTTTGTAGATGGGATGTATGGTTTTTCCGCCGGTGTCTCAGTAGAAGTCATTTCAGAAATAATTTGTCAGAAAATTCACAGAATATCCAGATTTGAGGACCAAGACCTGACCCGCTTCGGGGAAGGAGACCAATTTTTTTTAAATCTTTTATTTCATTCACAATGTATAAAATAAACACAAACAAATACAACATACATTAACATATTGGGAAAAAAAACATTTGAATGAAAAGGAGCAGATAGAAGAAAAACTCTTATGATTTCTGCCCCTTTTTACGAAATAAAATTATCCGCCAAACAAACACAGTATAACCTCAGTCACTTTCTAATATTTTCATGTCTAATCTTTGACATTATAATTCTCCTTTTCATAATTACTAAATACATTAGATTTTATACATTTTTTAAATATAGCAAGTGTAGTTGATTCTTTAAATTCCTTGTTAATGGCGTTCCACAATCTTACACCATTTACAGAAATGTTACATTCCCTCACTTTGGTTCTGAATCTAGGTTTCTCAAAGACATCAGTTCCTTTTAACATGTACCCACTTACTCTCTTATGAAACATTTTCTGAATATTAGTTGGTAGATTACTCGTATTCGCTCTGTACATTATTTGCAACATTTTCCACTCTACCAAGTCAGGAAATTTCAGTATTTTGTATCTAATGAATAATTGATTAGTGTGAGCTCTATAGTTACTGTTATTAATGATTCTCAATGCTCTTTTTTGCAAAATGAACAATGGTTGTGTAAAAGTTTTGCAAGTGGCTCCCCAAATTTTTAAACAATAAAATAAATCTGGTTCAATCAGTGAGTGATGTTAACAACCCCGACAAATTTAGTAGAAACTTTGCAGAGGTCACCACTGGCCACTAGGGTGTGTTGCAATCAAGCCTCGAGGGAAAAAGGTGTATTCACGGACGTGCCTGAAGTCACGTACATGTGACGACCCCTCACTGTACATACTGCTGATTCTCATTTGGATTACTGCTGCTCAACCATCACACTGCTGTCTATCCATGCTACTGTTTGACTTGTATCTGTAAGTCTTCACCTGCTTGTTAAGCTAATGTAATGGTTACATTGTCAGTATGCACACTAAGCCGCGCTGCATTTATTTACCCATTTTATCGCATTGCTTAGCTTTGGTCTTCAGCCCATGCTGCTGCCGTTAGCTTCCGCTCACTGAGCTTTGTATGTCGCCGCAGGGCTCCTTCATCCTTGTCAATAAAACCATTTGACATCGAGGAGTGTATTTCTTCATGAAGGAGCCATGGTGGTCGTCAGATGCTCCGTTCCAGCCTGCACGTTCGCCACCGAAGACGTGTCTGAGGCTCTCGCCGTGGCGCTGCTGGCAAACCATGGCCTGGCCCATCAGAGCCGGACCGAACCCGCTGCGCCCGTTCGGGCCCCGGGCCTGCCTGGCCCTGCGCTGGATCGACCGAGAGTGGATGTCGGCATGTCCATCGAGGAATGGAACGTCTCTACACGCCGCTGGGACCTCTTCCGCGCTGGCTCGGGCATAGGTTATGCCCAGGCCCCCTTCCAGCTTTTTCAGTGTGCCGGCCTGGAACTTGGGGACAGTTTGCTAAAGGCTAACCCGGATGCTGCAACTGGACCAGCTGAGACTCTGCTGGCTGCCATGCGCTCTCTGGTGGTGATACCGGTTGCCACATGCGTTCTGAGGACTAAACTGCTTCAACTACGCCAGGATCGTGACGAGCCCTTTCGTGCATTTGCCGCCAGGGTGCGTGGCAAGGCAGAAACCTGCGCCTACAACGCTGTGTGCGGATGCGGGCAGTCAGTTGACTATTCTGATCATATTATTCGTGATGTACTGATTAATGGGATTAATACTCTGATATACGAAGGGACATGTTGGGGACTCATGATGTTCTGTGTAAGTCTTTTAATAATATTATAGCACTGGTGGAGAACAGAGAAATGGCTCGCAACGCCCTCCCCTCCTCCAGCCTGTCAGCTATGTCCTCGTTCAGGCGCAGACAAGAGATGCCACCATCAGGGCCTGCTTCCTCTCCAGCCCCACCAGACAGGTCTGTTAGGGCTATATGCCCTGATTGTAAAGTGTCTTTCTGTGTTTTTTCTGAGGGATCTCGGGGTTGGAACACCAAGCCTCATCGGATGTGTGCCGACTGCTTCCGGGCCCGGAAGAGACGGGCACGGCACCAGCCACACATGGACGGACAACAGGCTGCTGTAGGCCATGACGTGATATCACAGGTCTCATCCGTCACGTCGGGCGTCTGCTCTAATGGACGCCGCAGAGACAGGCACATTCTTGTGCTGACTTTCAGAGCGCTGCATGGTCTGGCTCCATTGTATGTTCGAGACATGCTCTGCCCTTACACGCCTTCTCGCAGGCTGAGATCTATGGATCAAAACCTTTTAATGGTCCCACGTACTCAGTTCAGGACACGAGGAGATCGCTCATTCCAGGCCGTCGCTCCTAGGCTCTGGAATGAGCTACCTCTGTCTTTACGCTCAATCGACTCAGTTGATGTTTTTAAGAGCAATCTTAAAACCCATTTGTTTCTCCAGGCATTTTAAACTTAGTCTCATTCAGATTGGTTTTATTTGACACTGTATATTGTGGCTGTATTTTACTGTATTTATATGTTGTTGCCTTTTAACTTGTGAAGCACTTTGTGACCTTTTTGTCTGTGAGAGGTGCTATAGAAATAAAGTTACTTACTTACTTACTTACTTACACAGACCCCGCACCTTGGGGACGCATAGCTGCAGTGATGGGCCCACGCCGATCAGGCTCAGCCATCACATCTTCTCCAAGGGCAAATGGCGGTGCGCAAATTTCAGGGACCACCCCCGAGTGCCCATCTCCATCCAGATTGATGATAAGGTGAGGTTCACTAGTAGAGCCGGTGCCAGATGCCCGGCTGCAGAGGCTACCGTGTCCGCCATTGAGGACACGGGGGCTCAGTCGGACTTGTGGTCCCTGGAGGAGTTTCTGGCGTGCGGTTTCGCGCGCAGCGACCTCCACCCGGTGGTCCTAAACCTCTCAGCGGCGAACAGCTCCCCCATTGACATCGAGGGCACCTTCTTTGCCAAACTATCAACTACTGCTCCTGGTGGTGAGGTGGTGTCCTGCCGCGCAATGATATATGTTAGCAGGTCAGTTCACGCGATGTACCTCTCGTAGGACTCTCTGCTCAGCCTCGGTCTTCTGCCTAGTGGGTTCCCATCCTGCACGGGTGAGGGCAACTCGGCAGTGGGCCGTGACCTTGAAGCCGCCAG